ATTATTATTCTAAAAACCACACGTCAGTGAGAAATTGAAATCCATCCATTAACTGTAAAGATCCTTCATTGGTTCGACCATAGTGCGAGCTTGGCTTCAGCTGTAACTTGGTATGCACCACACTTGTTTTTCTTAATGTTTTTTGGCAATCCTTCCCAAGTGTATACCCTTGTATCTTTTGGAATAACGCTTTTGAATAGTAGAGTAAAATAATAAATATATGAACATTTTTCTGTAACTGTAATGGGATGTAGCATTAATATATGTGTTATAATTATTTAGAGATATTTACCTAAGATAATGCTATCCCATGTGTGATGATGTGGCCTAATATGGAAATATAAAAAAATGCTACTCCAGTGAACTTGTGTTTCCACATTTAGGGAACGAATGATGGGGAAAACGAGAAAAAACTGGTCAAAAATAATTCAGCAAGAGATCCTGATCTCCTGGCTTGCTCCCATAATGCATTTTGTTTTTCCCCCGTCAGAATACTAGTGTAAAGCCCCCAAATCAATTGAGATCCACGTTGTGCAGGTGTAACTGGATACATAGCTCTGAAGTTTTGCACACTGTGTAAAAGCCTGCGATCAGCAGTAAAATCTTGCTTGCAACTACATCTCAGGCAGTAATCAGTGTAATGGTCTTGTGCTGCATGGGGTTAGCTGCGTTTATATATATATATATCTCTACCCACGCCTTGCAGTGATAAGTAGGTTGTGAGAGCTGACGTCTTGAACATTTTATGTCTCACCTCTTTGCTGCTTTTCCAGTCCTTGTTGTTCCCATCCTAATAACCTGCTGACACAAGTGCATTAACGTACTGCTGGAGTCACTCAGTTTTGGGCTTTTCCCTTTGATCAAGCCTAATCCTCATTATTAATTACAGGCCGTGATTTCTCCCTGCAACCATCGCTGCGCCACAGCACAAATAAACTAGCAACATAGTATGGACTTTGATTATTATGGACTATTCACTGAAGGACCGTGTCCCTTCAATGCACCCCCATCATCCCTTTCTGCTTTGCATTGTGCTTGCACAGCTTCTCTGCTGAGTTCATTGTGACATATGTGTAAAATGAGCTTTACATTATTTGATAGCTTGTATTCCACGAGCTGGCACAATGTATTTAGGTAATGGTTTTGTGTTCAGCATTGGATCATACTAGCTATAATTAGTTGTGAAGTCTATTTCATGGCAGAGAGTCCAAAGTGATCCATAAAAAGTATACGGTTGTGCATTAAAGGGGACTTGATCAGTTCTACTTCTTAATTAGAATCTTGAAAGGGAATGAGTAACTCTGCTACCAACAATGAAAACTATAAACCTGCAAATAAACAATACAAATACACAGAATAACTATCTAATTAAAATGAGATTTTCTCTATGTCTGTTGTTAGATTTTCTCAACAACTGTTCTTCTGCCGATTGACGTCACTCTTGGCATCTGTACTGCTGAGGAACCAAGGAAGTGCAGTGTTGAGTGCGAGCTCTTAAGATCTATATAAAGAGACATTTACATTGTGAACAACAAATATTGAAATCCTCAGAAGGAGAGCTTGTTAGAAGCTGTTAGAAGCCAATCAGCAGCACATTCGTGCTTTGCATAATAACAAAGCTATCTGTTAATGTACGAAAGTTACATTATGATGCTTTTAAGACCTTATTCAGTGAAATGTAGTTTTGCGTTTTAGGGGTGTAACGGTGCACAGAATTCACAGTTCGGTATGTTCCTCGGTTTGGGGGTCACGGTTCGGTACAACAAGAAAAAGCAAAAAAAAAGTCCTAAATGCATAATTCCAGATTTGTTTTTTATTTATTTTGAACAGTAGTGCAAGTTTCAGTTTAAAAATAAGGAACTCTAACATTTTGAATTATTAACTGTATTACAAAGTTAAAAACAAACCACAAACAGTACCTCACACACTCAGATGGCCGTTTTATCTATAATGGCTGATGTCAAACAAAAAGATTCAATAAGCTGTAAAACTAAAAAGAATGTCTTGAAAATATTACAAAATAAATAATAAGATACTGTTTCAATCACAATCAATAAAAGCCGGGGTCCTCTACTATAGCTTTCAGGCACAATACCGCCCCCTGGATTATATATAGTGTATTGGATACTGCCCTGAATGACAGACTTTTTTCCCACTCGTAAAAAAAAGGCGTATTCGTCGTGTGACTGCATGCACCGAACCGTGACGTCCGAACCGTGATGGTACGGGACGGATACCGTTACACCCCTATTGCGTTTATAAGTTAAATTATGAGGTTATTTTCAAATGTGAAGTGAAAAGTCCTATTTTTGTGTCATCTGAAAGACTCACTGCGAGTGTCTAAATGAATGACTGCAATAACTAAGACCCTCTGGGTGTCCCTGATCTGTTGTGTTTGCGAGACAATATTAGCAGTATTTAAATTAAAAAGGATTTTTTATTTTTACAACACTTTTGGTACCTGTTATAGCAATTAGTTATAGTGTCGATGTGTTGATTCTAGACTGGATTTGGTTCAACATCTTTTTCTATGCTTCATTTAACCATTGTTTCGACATTGTCTCAGTAACTACATTTGACAGTAGAGTAAAGACCTTCTACACATTAATATATATTTACCAAAGGTCTAGAAGAAACAGTTGTATGTAACCCACAAGTAAAAATATCTTCTATCCAAATTTGGCCCTGTTTAGATATCGTTTGACTAGCAAATAACTACACAGTTACTTACTGTGTGCGTCCTCTCAACACATCTAGCCAGGAACATATATTCCATTTCAGAAGCAGCCTGTTGGAGCATGCCTGTCTGTATGGAGACCGGATTCAGTCTGGAGTTGCACTTTCTGTGATCTCGGTTTTCATTTATCGTTTCTTCCAGTCAGCGCTCTTACCTCTCATGACTTTTGAGCCTGATGCATCTTTGCTAATCTCCACACTTATATAACAGAGAATAACCCATACAGCTCTGTCATGCATTTATAATGTCTTCCATCTCAGCACTGTGTGTTTTGGCGTACATCACTAATATATCAAACAGCGAGATATGCAGTGTCTGAGGAACTGAGCTATGACACAAAGCACAATGTTTCTTTATGCTCCACTGCTTCCACAATTTCAGTGTTTACTCATCTTTATCTTTTTGGGGTTTTCATTATTTTCTGGGATATTTGTTCCTCCTAACATGGATATAAACTCTTGCAGTTTACAAAGGGAGTTTGGGGATAGAAAGGATTGATGGCAGTCACTGAATACACATACAATTGAAAACCAGTCATTCATAAACCCAACATCGGCACCTAAGAGTTTTGTCGCAGAAAGTGGCCAAAAGAGTGAGGCAGGTTGTAAAGGAGATGGGGTCTCCAGGAGATTGGTTTTAGAGATGGCACGGTGTGGATGGGTGTGTCCCGGTAAAAGAACACGGAGAACAGACTTTCCCAGTTTAGATCTTTAATTATACTCGGTCTTGCTGTTAGCCGTGTGTGTGTGGTCTGTACAAATAGTACAAACAAGGAATTGCATTAATAATAATCACAATTATCTATTATAAAACAATTATAGAATCAATACAATTGAATTAAACAAGCGAGTGAAATACAAAGAAGTTAGCAACTAAGCTACTACTAGCATCCAGCACCGCTAACAAACCAGAGACATTACTGCCTACTAAGTTATATACTAATATTGCTATTTACTACATAAAACACTGACAAGTTTACATTGCACAAATAAACACTCACCTTTATGCATTTACGCACAACACTTAACAGCATAAAAGTAAAGAGAATGTTGAGGAAACACAGGAGGAAAAGGCACTTTCGTCTCATAAACGAAACTGAAAGTAAACATATCACCTGCACACAGGCACGGCAGCTCCGATGACGTCATAAGCATGTGACAGCTCAATTCACCAGGAGCATTAAAGGAAAGACACTTAAAACATAACATCAACAAACAAACTTATGATATAAATGTGTGGGCTTTCTAACACAGGTGTTGTATGCCCGTAGTTTCACCTTGTTCAATGGGCTGTACCACTTGATTGCTACATACAGATGACCTTCTAGCATGACATGATGGTGACGCTTGTTTAAAAGTTGATTGATCACCAAAGTCATTATGATACAACATCTGGGAACTATGAATGTCTGTACTATATCTTCACCAAGTCATCCACTAGGTCTCTGTTGGTGTATTCTATTTGTTAGAATTAACATCAGGACGGCAGATAGCTTGCACATCTTCCGGCGCAAACTGAAAACTCATCTCTTTCGACTCCACTTCGAGCGATATAACTACTAACTAAGCACTTTTATACTAATAAAGGACTGGCTTTTCTAAAGCCAGTTGAGTAGCACTTGAAATGTTTTTGCTCTTTGAAACCTGATGTACTTATATGATTCTGTTTTCTTCAAGTTGTATTTTGTTGGACGAACGCACTTATTGTAAGTCGCTTTGGATAAAAGCGTCAGCTAAATGCAATGTAATGTAATGTAATGTTAGCAGTACCAAATGTCATTGCAATTATTTGCAATAAAAACCTGAAATGTCAACCAGTGTTAAGTATTTATAAGCAAATACTGCTAACACATTTATGTACAGCTGTCCCTTATAGCATGTCCCAGGTGGTGAAGGTAATGCTAGTTTAAAAGTCAGAGAATTCCCAACGTTCAAGTCTTGAGCTCTGAATAATCTGCTTGGTCCATACCAAATGTCACGGCAATTCATTCAATAGTCTTTTTCAAGTTTTTCAATAAAAACCTTAAACCTCAAGAACCTAAGTCAAACAGCTGTTGAGGAGTCTTAGTCCTGCCCAAATGACTTAGGCCTACTTAGTTTTACAAAATCGTAAAAAGTTAATAAAGTTAATATAACACAACACTACAAGATGTCATTCTTTTTTGGTCGCAAATTCCTGTGGATCTCCGTGAAGTTGTAATTTGCTCTGCAACAGTATTTTGCCTATAATTTAGTCTCCTTTATCTGTCCATTGTCTCCGGCAGAGATCTCTGGGAATTCAGAGGACATCCCTATGGTGCGATGGAAGCAGCAATGGCTGGAGAACGGCACTCTGCTCTTCCACATCCACCACCAGGACGGCAGCATGAACCCCCCCGAGCCCACCCAAGACCCGGCCAGCGATTCTGCAAAGGAAGAGCTCCGCATCCTGCACATCTCTGTCATGGTAAGACTCTCTGCTGTTTAGGCTGACTGTTCACAAAGCAGCCAACAATGGATACAGTTTTGAAGTCTAATATTCCAATATCTTTTATTTTGACATGCTGCCAAAATAACTTTTTAATTGGCCGAATCCTTTCATTTGCGAAATTAGAACGATAAAGAAATAAATGTGTTTTCTCTCTTTCTCTTTCATTAAGATGAATATGGATTTTTAACATAAAAAAATATTTTAGTGTGGATTTATTTTCCCTAAGGCTAAAAACATTGTTAGATATACGGTATCATCTCTGAGATAACATGATAACATGTCCCTGCCTTTTGTTTTGTTTCCCCTGTGTCTTCCAAATGAAACAGCTGAATGAACACTTTTTCTGGTTTTACAGAGTGAACGTTTTAGCAAGCAGTTGATTCTTGCTGATGTTTGTCATGGTACATTGGCTGCAAAAATGCTTAATCTACAAAACATCTTGGTGCATCTTACATTCATCTCATAAAAACTCTCCAAATGTTCATGATTTTAAAAAAAAACACTTTCACTCCAATGGCAGTTTCCTTTAGAGTAAACCCAGATCTAGTTCATGACCGATACTTTTTCTGTAGCTTCCCACATGGTATGGGTGTGTTCCAAATGTGAAGTCCATGTGGACTCCTGTATGAAGCAGAAGGCTTCCTAATTAATAAAACATAACAACATACTGTACATACTTTATCCTCTTTATTTCCCAGACATGTTAAACATACAGGCAGACCCAGACTCAGTTTTTCTGTGTGAAACATTCATTTATAAAGTTCTACATTTTGTTTGCAGAATGTAGATTTGTGCATGCCTGCACTGTTTCAACCCTTATCTGCTTTGTCGGCAGAGTAGGAAATGAATCCTTAGATCTTGCAGCCTTCCCCTCTTGCCTGAGGAAATGTATTTATTAGATCTTAGATATGCCACACCTACTCCCAGTGCCCTTTTCAAGCCCAAAGACATTACAACAGTGCTTTGATGGATGATATGTATTTTCAGACATTGAAAGCATATTATAACTGCATACACAAATTATTAGTCAGCTCGAGAAGACTATCGCCAGCAGCTACATCTGCTAAACGGAGGCAGGGAGCCTCGCTTTCCACACCCGCTGAATGTCACCGACCTTGAGACCTTGAAAGAAGTGTCCTTGACTACCCTCTTCATATGTTGCATGTATTAGCAAACATCAAGCCGATCCTCTATGCTCTCAGCCTTGAGTTGTGACAAAATGTGTATGTGTTAAAGAGATAACTACTGCTGAGGTTGTGGTTCCTACCTCTTTAATTTCCCTCTAAATTCAAATTTGTACCCTCCGCTCTATCTGCATTGCACATCCCATAAACCTCCGCTTTGTGTGTTTTGCGCTCCCTGCTTTGTTAATTCCTCATCCTGAAAGAGCTGCGTCGGTATCGCTGCCACAAGGGTGTTTTCATGAAGGTGTGGGTAGAGAAGGATTAGCATGCAGATCTGAGCAGACCGTGACAACAGATGGAGGCGGTGTTGCCGCTGCGCTGCCCGGGCCCCGCTGCAGCTTGCCACCCTGCTGGAGGCCCCGACCCATAAATCCAAAGCCGTGTCACTTGTTCTGCTAGGACACAAAAGGATCCTGTGATGGCTGCTTTAGGGCCTTTTTAGCCCAAACACACACCTGTCAATGGAGCTTGTTCCATTGTGTGTCTTCTTCGTGTCCTGGATGCAGCTGGGACGTCTCAATGGCTTGAGTTCTCAACATCTCTCTAAACCTTTCTAGTATGTGCAACAAGCAGAAGGGAGGAAATAGGATTAAACTAAGGGCAAGGGCTGCGCAATTCAAATGTTATCACATTTGCTATATGGACCGGTACAATATTTAAATAGCAGGAAGTACACTATTCTTGCTTCATATGCCATATTGAATGTAATATTGTGGAGCTCCAGGAAGATCCCGACCTCAGATTCATATTCAACAGACTCATGAAAAAACATATTTGTTTGCTACAGATTCTCACACCATAATCAGTTTGTATTATTTCATGATAATGAGAAATATCATAAATATATGATCAATACTTATAATATCGTGAATCATATTGCACTAGCAATACAATTTAAAATAATCATAATAAAACATCTCTCTAACTTACAAGGATGACCTTATTTTACCAACCTCAAACAGAAGCCGTTTGTTCTACAGTATTATCCCACTTAATGCTTAACACTTCTCTATTACGTTTTAACTTGGAGGCTATGATTAGCATCGTTAGCACAGATGTAGCTACCACTTGCTTACTACATGCTAACCCAAGCCTTAACATTCATTAACGTTAGCTGACTAAAAACATAAGCAACACATAAATAAAGTACTCGAATTTCACTTATCATAAAACTGCATTCATGCACCGTATGTTTTAAACGCGGAGCGAGTCACAATAGTCCGATATAAGCATGAAGAATAGTCCACAAGGCACCAGCACAACAAACACGGACGAGTTCAAGTTATGTTCCCCGGATGAGCTGAGCAGGCAGAGCCCCTGTAGCATCACTGAGCTGCTAGCAGAGCAGAAAGCTAACAGCAGCAGTCATTGGAATGACCAGTCACTCAATGTAACCACGCCCTAATGTATGCATAACTTTAAGGCTTAATATAACTTTAACACATTATAAATGGTAGTAACTCATTAATAAATGGTGATTTGTTTAGCACTTTACAAGGCTCCCTTTTGGCAGTTATAAATGTCAGTAACTCATAAATAAATGGTCATAAAGAGATGCCAAGAAACATCAAGATGGAAGGGGGGAGAATCAACTCAGTGAACAACAGATACCAAGGATGCTGGCTGATGAAGAAGACAAAGTAAGCTAGTGCCAATATAAGGCTTAGTCATCTTGCCAAATAGTGAGCCTGTGTTGATGTATGAAAACTGTTAGAACTGGTTTATAAATGGTTCTTAATGATTAATGAAGTGTTTACAACCTAATTATAACCCCTTTATTAATCCTTTATAAGGGTAGTCTTATTGTAAAGTGGTACCCATTTCAGACTGCATGATATCAATTTGAGTATGTCAGGTTTTGTGATGAATAGAAGAGTTATCCTGTAAAATTAAAACACATTTTTTAAAGTATTAAAAAGCCAATTATTACATTTCACCTCAAGATTGTGCTTTAAACATGGTTTTTCATCCGACACATGACATGGCTTTAGGTCTGCATACCCCAGCCAGGTTTACTCAGCCGGTAAGCAGAACGTCTAATCTACCACAGGTCATTGCCTGGCCACCGTGCCCACCATGAGACTGTTTATGCCTTATGGAGGAGTTGGGACTCCAGCATGTTTAGGCTTGAAGACAAGCCAGATTTATTATGGGCCTAATCCTAAAGGTGAATCAGGTTCAATCAACTGCACCACAAGGTAAGGGTCTGATGCCAGAAAAGCACCAAGACATCCAGCCAGGTGATAATCTTACGTAAGCATCAAACGCTTTTCAATTTTCTTTGGATTTTACAAAATGGGTTTAAAAGAAAATTAGAATGAAGAGTTGAGCAATTTATTAAACACTTATACTCCTGTTAACATGCAGGGTTCAAAGCCTCTCCCTGAGCATTCGTATCCAACAAGGTGACCACATTGTCCTCCACTTGCCACGCATGGTCATCCATAATAGATGACTTACCTTGTGTTTGCCTGTACCTACACCAGGTGAAGCACTGGCAGTTCAAACACATGTCCTCAACTTCAGCATGAACCCTACAGAGACAGCTACAAAGTGAATCCCAAAACTCGAAATGAAGACAAATATAACATCTATATATTAAAAACTGCATAACATATTCACCTAAGCTTGATTTGTTTATTCCTTAAGACTCTTCAGCTCTAGTTCATCATTCCGATTCACAATTCTCCCCTTTTGAATTTTAATTGGATGATGATTTTCCACCGGGCCTCAATGGATCAATCCAAAGATCACTCACCATACAGAGGTATCCAAACTGAAAATCATATACATCATTTTGAAGATCAATACATTTTCTTCAAGCCTTGGGGTTGGATTCAATGTTTTGTGAATTATAAAGGAACTTTTCTTTTTCACATGTCAAACCATAATGTAGACATCCAATGACACAAAGTTAACAAATAACAACATATAATGCATACTCTCTTCAGTCATTTTAAATACTGCAGGTCTGGCCCACAACACAGTCCCTTTTCCTGTCTAGGGGCCACATAGGGCAATTTGGCTACATTTGGTAACTAGTTTGCTGTGGCAAGGTGAGCAGTTAATCTGTCAGAGCCGTATAACTTCTGATGTTAATGTCAGGCAGCTCTTTTGTTTAAGTATGCTTTGTTCCGTGAAATATGAACCTCAACAGAAGTACTGCCAGCTTAGATGGTAACACTGAGTCCTCTTACTTTGGAAGTAAATAACTTGTACACATATTTCATTACACAATCTATCGATTCTGGTCCCGTGTCATAGTGTTTATCGCAACATAGGTTGTCAGAGAATGTTCAGTAATTCTAAATTTAAAATAATCTGAAATTACTTTTACTGCTTACATGGACTCATTTGCTGTACAGCAAGTCCACTTCAGTTTTATTAATTCTACCAAATATCACAAATCAAAAATATACCTCCAGGGGGCTTTCAAATCTGCACAGCATACAAAAACCCTCTCCTTAATCGTTCTCTTGGGTTAGGAAAGTGATTCCCAAAAAAACCTTCAACAAATTTACAAAAACCCTAAGGAAGGGCAATAACTGATAAGTGATCTCTCTCTGAACAGATGACATGCAATGCATGCTGTGATTACAGAGTAAGCATCATACTGGTCGAATAGAATTACAGTACAGACATGACAGAGTAAGGACTGGTAGCTAGAGAGTTGCCAGTTCCTTGGCACTGCCGAAGAAGACAAATAAAGTAAATTATAATGATATGGATCTGGGACAATGTCAAGAAAGTTTCCAAACTTTGTCAAACAGCTAGAACCCAAGAAAAAAAACT